GATAACAAGTTTACCATCATTTTTACATAATCAACTAACAATGTTGTAAAGATGCAGGATATATCAAACAAACACTTTTACGTATCTTATTAGTTAAATAATGAGACTGTTAACATGCCTTAGAATTGAATCTGAGGAAATGTGAAAAAACAGCATAACTTCTAAAATAATGGCCCGATTATGCCGATTTTCGAACTCTACCTGCATTTTAGTAAGATTGACCACTCCTGTGAGTTTAATGACAATTGGTCTATATGTTTTTCTTATATTGTTTTTACAGTGTTGCATATATGCTGAAAATAAAAAAAAAGCATAAGTACTAAAATAGTGGCCCGATCTTGCCGATTTTCGAACTTGACCTGCATTTTAGTAAGATTGAGTACTCCTGTAAGTTTCATGACAACGGGCCTATTGATTTACCTTTAAATGTGTTTACAGTGTTGCATATATGCTAAAAAGTGAAAAAACAGCATAACTTCTACAATAATGGCCGGATCATGCTGATTTTCGAACTTGACCTGCGTTTTATGAATATTCATCAGCTCTGTAAATATAAAGCCAAAAAGTAAAACTGCCCTCCACTTATCGTGTTAACAAGGAAAGTGCACGGCGCCGGCATCGGCAGCGACAGACGCAGGTGATGGCAATATGTACAGACACATGTGTCTGTACATAAAAATTGTATGTCTATAAGCACTTTTATTGTCATCGGGGACGAGAGCTATTGAAAAGACAACAAAAGTCAATAATTGACAAAGGGCCGAGGCATGCAGCATCTATTTCATTGGCTTGAAAATTTATCGAGTCTTGCCAAGGATGCGGTCGAACAATCTACACAAGAAAAAAAATTCTGTCACATGATTTTGACGTATGGACTAAATGTTTGAGCCCAGAAAAATTAATTTAATAATATAATTTTTTGGTTGGATTGACTGGGCCCATTGAAATGCTTGGCACATTACCATATCTATGTATGCTATTGCTTAACTGATTATGTCAATGGTCGACTGCAGTTGATGTGATTGATTGATTGATTGATAGGGACCTGAGTATCTGACGGAATTGGCATCAGCAAAAGTGACAACATAGCCACAGAGATCAAAATATATACAGACATAGTTTCTGTATATAATAAAGGTGTATGGGGGGAAAATACATTGCTGCCTTTGGTGTGCGAGCACTATGCTCCTAAAAATTCTCTTTCCTAATAGCAAAAAATTACATGGTCTGCAACAATAGGGAGAGAGAGCCTTGATAGAGCTTGTTTTGCCTTAACTTTAAAGTTTACTTGCCCAAGATAATAAATGACACAGGTGTCAGTAACAGTATCTGTGTCTCACTAATTGTTTCACTCACTTGCTACAATACTTTACAGTTACCAACTGATCATAGATTACACCAATGATAATCAGATTAAAAATAATTAATGGTTGAACAAATGAACTTACCCATCTAAATGAGGAGCAGGCTTTGTCAATCTATTGGAAAGTAATGGAAACAACACATTGGAAGAGAACAAACCAAGTACATATACAAAAATATGTAAATCTAAACTAAAAACTAGAGGATCAGAGAGGTGATACCGCCTCCGGATATTGTACCACCAGCTGGAGTAAGCGCATTCGTATGGACCCCCCCCCAAAAAAAAGGGGACACCACCACCAGTCTTGTGCTTGACAAGCTCTATAAAATACAATCAACAAGAGTTTTCAAAATATGCAAAAAAATAAATAAATAAATAAAATAACTAAAAATGGAACAATCAAGCAGATTTTCGAATTGTCTTGCATTTTCCTACCATTGATCACTCCTGCAATTCTGTAGACAAAAGGCCTATTGGTTTCCCTTGAAATGTGTTGTCAGTGGTGCATATATGCTGACAAAAGAGAAAACCTAGGGGCAACAACAGGCACATCTCTGCTAGTTTTGAAGATATGAGGGGCAAGAAAATATGCAAAGCTCAGTTCATGGTGAAAAAGTAGGTTAAAGGTCAATTTCAATATCATAGTATATGAATTTCTATTCAAGTTCAATAGTAACCATGGGCATTTCTTTGCCAATTTTGCAGATTTAAAGGCCAGAAAACATGCAAAAAGCAGTTCATCATAAAAAAGTTGGTCAAAGATTAATTTCAAGGTCACAGATTGCCAGTGTATTATTTCCTATTCAAATTCAATAGTAACTATGGGCGTATCTTTGCCAGTATTGGAGATAAAAAGGAACAAAATTTGCAAAGTTCAGTTTATGGCGTAAAGTAGGTCAAAGGTCAATTTCAAGGTCACAGTAAATTGCCAGTATATGACTTCCTATTCAACTTTAATGGTAACTATGGACCTATCTCTGCCAGGTTTGGAGATAAAAGAGAAAGAAATTTGCAAAGTTCAGTTCATAGTGAAAAGTAGGTCAAAGGTCAATTTCAAGGTCACATTTAGATTGCCAGTATATGACTTTCCATGCAAGTTCAATAGAAACTATGGACCTATCTCTGCCAGTTTTGGAGATAAAAGGGAAGCAAATTTTGCAAAGTTCAGTTCATGGTGAAAAGTAGGTCAAAGGTCAATTTTAAGGTCACATTTAGATTGCCAGTATATGACTTCCTATTCAAGTTCAATAGTAACTATGGACCTATCTCTGCCAGTTTTGGAGATAAAAGGGAAGCAAAATTTGCAAAGTTCAGTTCATGGTGAAAAGTAGGTCAAAGGTCAATTTCAAGGTCACATTTAGATTGCCAGTATATGACTTCCTATTCAAGTTCAATAGTAACTATGGACCTATCTCTGCCAGTTTTGGAGATAAAAGGGAAGCAAAATTTGCAAAGTTCAGTTCATGGTGAAAAGTAGGTCAAAGGTCAATTTTAAGGTCATAGTAAATTGCCTCTAATGGCTTTCTATTCAAATTCAAAAGTAACTATGTGTATCTTTGCCAGTGTTGGAGATAGAAGGGAACGAAAATTTGCAAAGTTCAGTTCATGGTAAAAAGTAGGTCAAAGGTCAATTTTAAGGTCACACTTAGATTGCCAGTATATGACAAAAATTTGCAAAGTTCAATTCATGATGAAAAGTAGGTCAAAGGTCAATTTCAAGGTCACACTTAGATTGCCAGTGTATGACTTCCTATTCAAGTTCAATACTAACTATGGACCTATCTCTGCCAGTTTTGGAGATAAAAGGGAAAGAAATTAGCAAAGTTCAGTTCATGGTGAAAAGTAGGTCAAAGGTCAATTTTAAGGTCACAGTAAATTGCCAGTATGTGACTTCCTATTCAACTTTAATAGTAACTATGGACCCATCTCTGCCAGTTTTGGAGATTTAAGGGACTTAATGTTACAATTTTGGAGTTACAATAATGTGCCATAAATTTCCTACGGAAAAATTAATTAAAATAAAGAAAAGGTCAATTTGGTTGAAATTCTTGAAATGGGAGGTGCTCAGAAGTTCCAGGCCCCGCATGCACAAATAATCCTTATCTTAAGTGAAAAATTCTCCTTAACTTCATAAGAAAATTCTTAGCTGAGGAAACCCCTTAAGTGGTATGCACAAAGTACCTTAAGAATTTCCTAAGCCAAGAATTTTCTCAAATAATAGGAATTTCCTCAACTCTGTAGGATTTCTCTTATGTGTTGAGCTATGTTTAGCCTGTGCATTGACCAATAGAATTACCTGTTACAATAGCTCACACTGGGGAATTTCTGGGAGAATCCATGTTTGAAGGAATCCTTTACTTGGATATGATAGGCTTATCAGTTATTATTAGAAGAGTTGAGATATCAATTGTGTAGGCCAAGAAGTTGTAACTTCTTGTGTAGGCCTAGTATTCTTCATACTCTGACAGAAAAAGAGGCATGTCATCCAATCCCCGGACCCAACACTAATAATAATAATCCAGTGACATAATTACATTTTAATCAAAAGGTTTTATCTCTATTGGCTGATACATGTGCACCCATCTCCCCTATCGGCGATAATTCTGTAAAAAGGCCCCATAAAAAATATTAGTTTACCATCATTGTCACCTACAAGAAGTGATTCAGTAGGGCGTACTTTTTGCTCATACAAAAACACATTGAATTTAACCAACGATGCCCTCCGGACCGTCATTACATACACTAAAACATGGAACCTACCATGAGCAAAGCTAGTAACATAAATTGCAGTGAGAGGCACTCTTAGTACAGGGAGAGTCTGTTTTTGTGCATGAGGTGCACATTTGATGGGGAAAATTTACATTATAATTTTTTTATGTGAGCAGAAAAAGTAATGCGGCCAGGGATGATATTTTCATGGGCCCTAAAAAAGAAATAAGCCCAGCATATACTTATTTCATGACTATGGCCATTTACATGTCATAGACTTACATATTTTAAGTGTTATCTGTGATGAAAAATTGTGGCATGTAATTCATAATATTAATATTAATTTTAATTATTAATTTCACTATTGACCCTACGTATGCACATATTAAATACCTATGTTAATTGTATACGGTAATATGCCAAACAATTCGACCAAGATTAATTAATTAATTTCATGGAAATGTCAGTTTGGTCGAATTGATTAAAATACAGCAAATGGAAACCTTTGATATCGTCGGATTGTTAGGGGCATCTCCCAAATGTCCATCTTTCCAGAAGTATTGCATTTTACCGGAAGTGTTACGCAAGATAAGCCGCAATTTTCGCCTAACATGTGTTTCAGGCATGTTTTATCCTCCTGAGATCTTATTTTGCTGTGTACAATATGTGCTAACATTACTTAACATTAAAAAAGACGACAATTATAATTTTTAATTATATATTTCCCTCACCTACGATCACTTTCATGATGCGCTTCACAAGTGGGACGAGTATTTCCCCGGAGACAGGTGTTGTAAACAAAGGCCTGTCACTTATATTTGAAACCGGTAGCTTTAGTGGACTTAAACTAGTTATGTGATCTATGTACGCCCTATTTGAATTTTAATATGACAACTGAAATCAACCGAATTGAAATTTTTTACCAGTCTGAGATCAGTTGTTTTCAACCCGCAAGGCTTGCTCAGCGTCGAGGCATAGACGTACGTACTTCCGAAGAAAATTCAATCACCCGTATCAAAGAATACCAACTGGTACTCAAACGGAAATCAGTGTAACTTCAAATTACTATTAAGTATTTTATTTAAAAAGCATGTCATATAAAAACATATTGAGAAAAGGCAAAATACGGAGCGTACCTGTGCCGATAGACATACAGTATTTTGCTGGCATTCTTCCGATTTTCTTACTTATATACTCTCGCTGTGCACAAACCATGGTGCATATTGAAAACCCCACTGATACAACCTGAACGTAAAAAAAGCATTTACTTGCCATAATTTTCACAAAACAGGTGCATTTATAATTTGACGTGAGAATTGATCACATGCAGAAATGAGAGACTGGTTTTATCTGGTCTGCTCCAGCATAGCGCAAACCACATGTTAATGAAGACGGTCCAATTTTGGGGGAGGGGGTCACAGGAATGGAGTTCGTCGTGGATTACGCTAAATATTATCAACATTTCATGCATCTTGGGAAATAGAAAGTGACTCACAGGTAACGTAAATACCCAGTGGAACTCTCTATGAAGGATTTTCGCGGTCCCGAAATATTCTTGGTCTTGCGACTGCCCTTTCCAGTTCATCCACTTCTTCACGATAAACAGCAATAATAAGAGCCATAGAGAAATAATGTTGCTGTACAGCTTTGACTAGCGCAAATGAATGCCACTGTGTTGTACAGTCACTGAATCTAAGGACAAAATTTCCACTTAAGAGACCCAATGAGGTACCTTAAATTTGAGGAGATATTTGGGGAAATTCTCATCTTAAGATGCTTTGTGCATACCACTTATGTTAAGGATGATCACTTAAGGAAATTCTTAGGGAAATTCTTAAAAAAACACACTTAAGATGTTTTGTGCATACGGGGCCAGATGTTTAAATTTCATGAAATAATGTCATTTTTCACCAGAAATTGTCTGCCTCGCCAAGCCTTATGTTTTATTTACCCAGGGTTCAAAATTTATTATACATTACCGTACTGCACATTTTGCCTTCACCACCACAATGTACTTTTTGATACAGCATAACTCGAAAACCGTATGGAATACAAAAAAACAGAGACCACAAGCAGTGTTGGGCTTTACATGCTTTACAAAATGCAAAAAAGAATGGGTCTCTAGAGAAGCGGTAATGGTGACTTGTATCCCACGTCATCCTGCGGAGCCGCAGGAGCCAGCAGAGCTGTACGAGACGGATCGGGACTAAAACCATGAGTACCGCCAGCGTACACGCTGGTGGTACTAATAACACTTATTACATGTTACATTTTCAATGGTTCTTTTCAATATACATGAATTCCTTCAAGTTACAAATTTGAGGATAAGCTATGCAAATAGTTATATGCTAATAGTTATATATATATATATATATATATATATATATATATATATATATATCCAGTTTCCATTTGAAAATTTTACCGAAAATAATAATAATAATAATAATTATAATAATTCGTCCAAAACTTTTGCATAATATTGCAAACAGACAAACAAACTCACTTTACAGTATTACAGCACTTAAGTATTTTAATTTCTAAAACGATGAGATAATGTACACCTTCAATTACAATACCAGATATTTCTTGTAAGGGAAAAATAGCCTTTTTGGTTTAAGATTACATTTTCAAATACTCACATAAAGAATTGCGATCCATTGGTATCTTTACCACGGTTTGCCATGGACAGAAGAAAGGGACGGTCATGCTTGATGATGAAATTTTCATCTGAAAAAGATAAATGCATTCTACAATTACTATCAAGTTTCAAATAACTGAACTGTCCAAATAATTGTAATGTGGAAATTGTCCAAACATTAATCACTGCACAGTCTGAATAATTGCACCATGTGGAAAAATGTCCAAAAATCCATAATTGTACCATGCCGAATAATTGTACTGCATGGAATTATCTCTTAAAATCAACTAAAGGATCAGAGAGGCGATACTGCCTCCGGGTATTGTGCCACGAGCTGCAGTTTCGTTTGGAAAACAAAACAAGGCAGCAAAGCTGCCAAATGTACAGACAAAAAGCAGAAAATAATAATGCACAAAATAGGATTCTGATGCAATAATACATGCTTAACTGCAGAGTCAACAAATTTTAATTATGCACAACAGATAATACTGATGAAAGTAAAAGCATAAAGCTTCAGGCCCATGAGAGTTCAAGTTCACAGTTGAATCTGACAAAATGCAATGTTATGAGTTCATTCCATTTTTGATACTTTATTATACAATATACGATAACAGGTTTACCGTCATTTTTATATAATCACATAACAATATTGTTAAGATGCAGAAAATGTCAAAAGAACACTTTTACATACCTAATTAGGTCAATGATCAGACTGTTAACATGGCTAAGAATTTTAAAAATCTGAGGAAAAACCTTGATACATACAAAGAAAGGCATTACTTCAGTATAACTTAATCGATCAAGCTTACTTTTGAACTTAATTTGTATATTAGTAAGATTGATCACTCCTGTGAGTTGCAAGACAATAGGCCTATCAGTCTTCCTTGAAATGTGTTATCAATGTTGCATTTATATGCTGAAAAAAGGAAAAAACAGTATAACTTTTGTTAAAATGGTCTGATCAAGCTGATTTTTTAACTCAACCTGTATTTTATGAATGTACATCAGTTCTGTAAGTTTAAAGCTAAAAGTAAAAGGATTTTCCACTTATCGTGTTATCAGTGTGGCATATATGCTGTAACAAGCGAAAAAACAGCATAAATTTTAACCAAATGGCCCGATCATGCTGATTTTCAAGCTCATCCTGAATATTCTGAATATTCATCAGTTTCGTAAGTTTAAAGCCCAAAGGTACATTTTTCTACTTATTGTGTTATCGCTATTGCATATATGCTGAAAAAAGTGAAAAAACAACATAACTTTTGAATAAATGGTCTGATCAAGCTGATTTTAAAACGCGACCTGCATATTACGAATATTCATCGTAAGTTTTAAGACAAAAGGTACCCGTAAAACAGTTTTCCACTTATCGTGTTATCGGTGAAAGTGCACAGCGACGATGATGCAGACGGCGACGACAGATGCAGGTGACAGCTATATGTATACACACACATCTGTGTCTGTACATAAAAATAAAGCAATTGCTTTGGAAAAGTAGGTGAAATTCAAGGTCACAGTTAAGATGCCAATATATGACTTCCTATTCAAGTTCAGTAGTGACCATGGGCATATCCATGTTAGTTTTAGAGTATTTCACATTTTATTTTCACCATTGTGCATTGCAACATACTTATTGAAATAGCACAACTCTGTCTGAACATATACATAACACCTCATGAATGTCTTTTGGACAAGACACTACAGATAATACAAAGCTGAGATTTAAGAATGGTTCAAACTCATCTCACTGTATATAAACTGTTTGTTATTTGCATATCTTGTCATCAAACATTTAGGAAAAATACTATGTCCAGGCCTGTTAATGGCATTCAATGAAAGGGTCTTCTTAACATTTTTTAAAGAAAAACATGTATAATGGATAAATGAAAGAGACAAGTTTATCAGCCCTCTTCACTATATCAGCTAATAAAACATCTAACAAGGCAGCAAAACCATCAAATGCATGGACACAAGGCAGGAAATAATGATCCAAAATACATTTTTTGTCAATTATAATTCAATTTTATACAATTATTGTCATTGGTTG